CTTATAAGGTACATTTTTATTGTATGTCTGTATTTTTTCTTCCAAAAAAGACTCCAACCTGTGGGTTTCTTTCTGTCTGATTGTGTTTCCAATTTGCTGAAACATGCTCGTCACCTTTTTAGTGATGCCACCATGTTCCAGTTCTCAGTAAATAACCCGGGGAAGTACAATGTCAATGCCCTGAACTACAAAATATGCAAACATGTCTTGTGTTGTGTTTTATGCTCAGCTGATAAAGCCCAGTTTATCTAAAAGCATCTTATCCCCGTAGTAACATTTAAGATGTTCAGTTTGGGGCTTTCTGAAACAAACACTGACATTCATGAAAGAAATGCGGTGAACTCTTTAGTCATGAATCTCAGATGTTGACTGATTGTGAAGTTTCCTGCTGGGCTATTTGAAAGGTCATTTATTGCACTGACTGGCACATGTGGATGACACGAGCTGCTGCTTCTGGTCCATTGCACTACCTTTTGCACACTTCTAACATGGCTACACCAGCTTACACAGACCCATCTTGCACAGTAAACATGTGATGCTGTTTATAACATACCTGCAGCATCAGGATCCTTATGAGCATCTCCAAAGAGAGAACTTGTCCACATGAGAAACATCCTTTCCTGCAGATTTATGTCCCCCAGCTTTTCAACTAACTCCAGACGTATTTCATAAAATCCAAAAGCCTTTAACACGTTCTTGGTTATTTTGGGCGACCACCGTTCAAAACAGCTCAGATGATTGTTTGAGGGGGGAAAAAGTTTCCCCCGTAGGCAAAACATGCAGACTTTATTTATGATTCCAGCACTGAAAATTCTGTCCATGTGTGATGATAAATGAGCTAACGACACTTAATTACGGCACAATAAAAAAAGTGTTTCCATTGTTACTCGGCTACCCATTGCCATAGTTTGATATTTAATGATTAGAGGAGACTTTTACAGTAAAATAATATCCAGCTGTGATGGAGCTCAGGATTTAACTGTGTAACAAATGAGTATTCTGCAGCTGATAAACTGTGCGTCTGTGTGTGACAGCTGGAGAAAAGCACACAATGTCATTTGCAGTTACATTCTGATTAATCCTGTCTACATGTTGGGGCTTATTTATCGTTACAAGTCATTGATTAAATAACTGCTGTTATGTGTGAGGGGCTGCAAGCTGGCACAGTTGGTAGCACTGTTGCCTCGCAGCAAGAAGGCTGCCAGTTCGCGTCCCGGTGGAGGTTTGCATGTTCTCCCCGTGCAGCGTGGGTTCTCTCCGGGTTCTCCAGCTTCCTCCCACACAGTCCAAAAACATGTTGAGGTTAATTGGTGATTCTAAATTGTCCGTAGGTGTGAATGTGAGTGTGCTTGGTTGTCTGTCTCTAAGTGTAGCCCTGTGATAGACTGGTGACCTGTCCAGGGTGTCTCCTGCCTTCGCCCTAAGTCAGCTGGGATAGACTCCAGCCCCCCCGCGACCCTAATGAGGATTAAGCGGTGTATAGATAGTGGATGGATGTTGTGTGTGAATGTGCACACAAGTTTCTCTTCTTCATATGGATCCTGCTGCTGTCTGATGCTGCAGGTATTTAATAAACTCAGAGAAAAGACTCCTAAAAACAGCTGGAATCAAGAAACTAAACTTCAGCTCCTGTTGCCATTTTCAAATCTGTGTTTGTAGCCAGTGAGATGGCTGTGGCCTCCACCTGGTCACCCCTCGGAGGTGCTTTTACCCGCAGCTGCAGGTTTATGACAGTAAATTTCAAAGATTTCACGAGCTCGGTTATGTAAAGTGCTGACAGCAAGCAGCAGCTCAAACAAAAAAACTTCAAGATTATTAATTAAATTGCTTGAAATGCAACATTTAGATGCAAAGTTTTCATCAAAAATCAATAACATGCAAGCTCAGGGCCCATCTTTAACCCCTGCCAAGCTTTACATAAGAGTGTTTTTCATTTATGCTGCTGTGCATACGAAGAAGCAGGCCCTGGCTGTTGTCTGCGGCGTTCAGCAGAAGTTGTTCTTGGCAGGATATTATTCCGAGGGAGCGCGCTCTCCTGTAGTTGGAGGATAAATCCAGGTAAATCGTTGGTATGCCGTGCGATAAATCTCTGTGGCGCAGCGCTGCCAGAGGGCACACATGCACACATTCAGGGCCTCGGGTTCACAACAACAGCAGAGACTGAATGTGCTGTCAGGTAGTTTTGGTGTGAGGAGACGATTTCCTCGCCTCGTAGGTGAGGGTGTTTAGTTATTCTGTCGCTTCATAATGACTGTTTTTGTTTCTGTGGTGATAAATGTGTTGTGGACCACCCCTCAGCCGGTGTCGGGCTCATACGGCTGATTTACGCGCTGCAGAGGTGCCCTGAGGGGAGTCTGTGCAGTATGTGAGGATATATGATCTGTGCAACGCTTATCAGTTATCTGTTCTAAATCAAAAGTGAAAACATGTAGAAAACATTTTTATAATCTAATATTTCTTCTTTTTTTCCCACCACCATGTAAGCAGGTGCAAAGCAATCAGATGTCAACATGAGAAAAAAAAAAACACTAAAAACTCTCTAGTCTGACTTCACCGTTCTTCTAATGCATCATTTCAGTCGGAACCACGAATCAGATTAATGCTGAGTGATGTCACACACGCGGATCTGTGGTGATGTAAACTCACGTTGGCTGGACTGTGAGACGGGGGCGACATCCAGTGGTCGTATCTGATTCAGGGACAGCAGGCAGCTTTAAATAAAGTGATTCAATTCCACTTTCCCTGCTGCTGCGGCTGTTGTTTGCTGTTTCTGTTGACCATGCCCAGTTTAAAACACAACACATGTAACTTGCTGAGTGAACATTAGCTCTTGTTACTTCACAAAATGAGATTACTGCTCAGTTACTTACATGTAACAGTTAGTTTTTTTTGGAGTGGTTCTTGTTTTATACTTTTCTCTTAAGCAGAAGGGTTAAAAAGTTTTTTGTTGTTTATTTACATTTCTGTTTCTATTTCTATTTATTTCTTTATTGATCTGTTTTAGATCTTTAGCAGCTCTGCAGAATGACTTTTTTATGGTGATTAGTAGCACAAACAACAATGGTTTTGGTATTTAGCCACGCAAACTGTGGTTTGAATCTGCTTACTACAATAACAGATAACTAAGCACAACTAAACATGTCTTTTTTTTATTTTATGTTTTTCTTTGGGGGGAGTTTTTTTTCTGTTTTTAAAAACAGAGAGGTGGAGAGAGATTACGGCGAGCGTGTTTTTAAATCATTCAAGACAACGTTCCCTCAAAATGAACACATTCACCAATGATCTGATCATACGATATGCCTTTATTAATCTCACGGTGGAGAAATTCACATCATCTGACCAGTCTTACTGCAAAATTAAGAACATGCAGGCTGAGATCATACACAAAGCAGGTCAAAATGAAAACACTACACAGCATTCATTACACACCACATCAGAAAATGGAAAACAAGGTTCAGGGCATGCAGCACCAGAAAAATTAATGTTGGTTTATACATTATTCAATAATTGCCTTTTCAAGAAGAAACTAATCACAACTCTTCAGCACATACAGTAAAAAAAAAACAATAAACACTTAAAATGACCATGTTACAGTACACTTTAAATCCATCCATCCATTATCTATACACCGCTTAATCCTCACTAGGGTCGCGGGGGGGCTGGAGTCCCAGCTGACTCAGGGTGAAGTCAGGGGACACCCTGGACAGGTCGAGTACACTTTAAATGTAACTGCGAACTCTAATTCAAGAGATTCGTTCTGCCTCAGCATCAAGTCTTTGCAGTGGGTCTGGTTAGCGAGGAGATTTTTCCAGGTGTAGGGTTGTCTATCTTATACTTTCCACCACCATGCAGAGAAAAACTCTTCGATTGGCTTAATTAAAGGGGGAGCAAAGTGGAAGGCAAACATTTATGAATCGCTGGGTGTTGATGTTGAACCACTCTCTTATTGGAACTGCACGGTGAAAACTCATGTTGGCATACTAGCAGACGGGATTCTCTGGATGCCAGTTAGGTTTCCCCTTCTGCTCTTTGTCAGATTGAACCCAGCTTCATCCACAAAAATGTATTAATGAGGTCTTTCCATTGAATCCAATTCAAACACTGTATGTGCGGTAATAGATTTATTTTTACTGTGTAAGTGCTGTAAAAAGACAGACATGTGCTGTAAGATGGGTACACAAGTGACTTATATGCATTACTGTATATGTAATACAATGTGTTTTGACAGTAGTACGCAGCATTATGCTACTGTGCTGTAAACAATCAGTACTGAATGTGTCTGTATGTACACATACTGTAGTCATTGCTCATCTGTAGGTTTGCTGTGGCACTGGAGAACACTGTTGATTCCCTCAAAATGTACACTGTCTTCTACAACTTGCTGTAGTCTAATGACATTGTTTTGAAGGACAATGTTAACTAAAAGAGCCTTTTGCTGTTAAAAGAAGATACAAGTCTTTCTGTTCACAGTGAACCTTCAATGAGAGAATGTGCTGAGGCTGGGCTGTGCTCTTTATCCTGCTTCCGTCACTGTCATGCCATGAATAAGAACATGGTCCACCACAGTTACTCGTATTTCAGTTTTTGCTTTTCCTCTTCCTCTCTGCACACCACCACTTATATACACTTGTCTTATTTGCAATCTCAGATCTGGCTAATATTGGTTTCATCACATCAACACGTAACGCAACAACTATGATCAGTTCTGTGTCATTTTGTTTATAACTTGTGCCACCTGTGCATCACAGTGCAAAATGTGTTTAAGTGAATGAGAATGTGTGCACAGTTTTGCAAAAAAAAATAAAATAAAAATAAAAAAATTCATGCCACTTAGTTTTCATTGATTCAGAAAAAAGACGAGACGTTCACATTTGACAACACTTGGTGGCAGTAATGCTAAATTACATTGTACTGCTATAAAATAGAAAGAAAGAAAGAAAAAAAGGAAGACGAAGAAGAAGAAAACGGAACTAATGTCGCGACTCCAGGTCGGAACCTTTGTACAAGCGCTTCACTACCGACCACGGATTTGTTTGTGGGTGACACCTTGGTAACAGCTGTTTTCCTCGGCTAGTAGCTAGCAGCAGCCAACTTAGTGGATATTTTTAAGCAAATTGTATTCCTGTTTTCTGCCTGTTCTGTTTGTACTGTCATCACGGGTAAGTGCGCCATTATGTGAAGTGAAAGTGCGACTGTTGGGTTGAATGTGACTGTGTAAAAACTGTAGAAAACTAGCATGGAGCTAGCATTAGCTAACTAACGGTTAACTTACCAAGCTTTATTCCCAGACGTTTAGCATTTAGCTAACTGCTGTCTGAGCAGCACAGCTAACCTGTCCCGTTCAGAAACCTTTTATTGCTTCTGTAAATTTGGTGTCGACTAGACGTTAGCTTACATGTAGGGCTGCTGCTAACCATTATTCTCCATGTGTTTTTAATCTGTCAAATAAACCCTGTAAATTGAGATGTAGGTAATGACAAGTAACATTCCCCACAGCACAAGGTGGTGTTTTCCTCGAGTAAAACCCAAAGATAATCAGTTATTCATTGCCAATCAGGTTAAAAAACAAAAAAGAACTTGACATTTAAAACGCTTGAACCAGCCACTGTTTGACTTTTTTTTCCCTCTTTAAAACAGATTAAACAATAAATGATTTCAAAACATTTCCAATTACTATTATGACATCTCTAGTTCAATGCTCAGCAAGTAGCCACAGTTGGACACATCAGAGATCCTGTCATGAGCTCCTCTCCATTTCAAAACACATCTACACTTAGAAGTTCAATTCATTGAAGTACCTTGGATGCTTTGACTCCAAAAACATCTTTGTTGTTTTGAGTGCATTTGCATTTTCAAAGAGTCTCAAAAATATCGCGTATCTCATCCCAAACCTCTCAGATTGACTGAGTGGGAGGCAGCCATCATGGAGCCTGCCTGCCGCAAGGACAAGCCAAAGCTGAACTCGACCCCGACCAGAGGAGACCGAGCCAAACAGAAATCTGCGCAGCAAGAGCTCAAACAGCGACAGAGAGCAGAGGTTCCGTGTTTGATTTTTCAACACATGTACAAATCCCAAAAATGTGTTGGCTTTTTAACTCTGTATAATCATGCTTGTGTCCTCCTTTTATTTGTAGATCTATGCTTTGAACAAGGTGATGACAGAGCTGGAGCAGCAGCAGTTTGAGGCCTTTTGTAAACAGATGCAGTCGCAAGGAGAATGATGAGAGTCCTGCCCGTTCTGGTGCCCTCTTTTATCTGGACCTGTCACGCTCAGGAGCGCTATGTACACACACACACACACACACACTGTTGCTGACATAAACCCGCTCATGCTTTAGTACATTTGTGGTGCTGTCTTACTTCCTAAAAGAAGACTTACAATAGAGAGATGCTGAATCGGACAATCTTTGCTCCTGATGTTGTACCGATTTAAGCTTCTGACTCTGTAGCCTGCCTGAATATGCCAGACAGCTGTGTTGATGTAAGTCGACCATGAATGAGATCAGAGGCCAGAGTTGCACACAAACACATCACGTCACTGACAATCCCTTTCCTTTAATACTGGCTTTTTTTGCATGGATGTGATAGTTAAATTGAGTTACACATGACCACAGTGATAATACCTGCAGAGAGGATGAAATTTATCCTTTTTTATTTATTTTTCCCTACAGCAATTCTGAGTAGTTAAAGGCACTTTTTTTTGGCCATTAAGCAAGAAAGCAGGCAGAAAGTGACAAATGATGAATTAATCCTAATTAGCTTTTATCACAAACTAGCCAATGTCACTCACACTTTTGTAGCAGAAGGAAAACAGCAATGTGTGAATCACTTTGTGTGCGTTGCCCACTGAATTAGTACTGCATTTTATTGCCATTCACAAATTTAGCAGCCTGCACATCATATATATATTTATATTCTTTTATAACTGTTATATTACAGTATGCCATCATCTTTGACTTGAGTTATACAAATTTGATTTAATGAAAATAAAACATTTTTACTAAATGCCTTTTTTGGTTGATGGTGTTTTATTTATCTTTATCTATTTATTTTAAACTTTGCATGCTGTATCATAAAGGATTTCAGAAATATCTCCAAATCATGAGAAAAGAATAATTCCACTATGAGAAAAATTGGCTACAAATGGTGCCAATCTCTCCAGGATTGACTGGTGGAAAAAAAAAACCTCTGAATTTCCTCACAGGATCTTCAGGTAACTCTGAAGCTGTTAGTATAGAAGTGCTGCATCTACAATTAGGAAGAGATTACACAAATGTAACCCCTTCGAAGGCCTTCTGTCCAGAAAGATCATTGGAGGAAAACTACTGTGAAAATATTTGGCAATAAACATGCATCCAAAGAGCAGCTTCTTTGGAATAATGTGCTCTGGACAGATGACTCAAATACAGAGGTATGTTGGCCATAGCAGGAATAGACCAAATACAGCTTTTCAGGAGAAAAATCTAACACCAACCATGAAACAAGGTGGTGAAAATGTATTGGTTTGGGTTTGCTTTCACTGCCTCTGGGACTGAACAATTTTCAGAGATTAAAATATCTGCATCATAGCAAAGAGTGTCTGAAGATAATGGGAAGATAAAGTTTAACAAATCCAAGGAGTAGCTCTGAAATAAGAAATGGAGGGTTAAGGAGAGTATAAAGCCCAGATCAGCCTTCTATTCATTTAAATGTTTTCGAAACAGGAAGTACATGCAAGAAAGTTGCTTAACATCTTGCAAGACTGTTTGATAGTTGTGCAAAATACTTAGAAAAAGTTATTTCTGCCAAAGGTGGCAATATGTTTACCACAGAAGAAAGTCACATCTACTGATATCTTTGTTCAATATGTGATTTAAGAAGCATTATGATTACAGCTTGTTAACCTTAGGAGAGACTGTGTAACTGACTGCAATATTTTTTATGTAAAATGTTACCGAACAGACGTAGCAAAGTAATAACACACCATCATTTATTTCAGAATTTTATTTCTCATTTAAAAGATAAAGCATTTGATTGTTTTGAACACCCCACCCACCAAACACATCGCTCAGATTCACGGCAGGATATGTCAGTGCAGGAGTAGATTATGGTTAATGACTTGTTGCAAGCAGCAGTTTTGAGATTTTCAGGTTAGTAAAGCCAAAGTGTGTTGTGTGTCGCTGTACACATGTGTAACTAGAATCCTGATAGCAGCACTATGTTTCCACAGCATGAACAGCACAAGTGTAAGGCAAAGCTGGTCCTCTTGATACCTCCAAACCAACACTGTGAAGCCTTTGCATTTACTCTAGTTCCTGTTTCTTCTCCTCCTTACTGTGTTCCTCGGTTCCCTCCACTCTCCCTGTTTTTCCTCCCGTTCAGACCTCGACTGTAACGGAGCTCCCGGTGACTCGGACTCCGAACCAACCATCCCAAAATTTGTTATCTTGTCCTCCATGTTCAAAGGAGATGAAACGCATTCCAGGGCCGTAGTCAGTGAAGGTGTGGCTGACCTGGAGCACAAGCACAGAGAGAAAACCGCTGTGATCCACACAGTTACTTGGACTTTTAATTAACACGGCATTCAAACTATTGTCTCCTGTGTGCAATTAAAAGGCTTTGAAAACCTGTTTCCACGAACAGTCGTCACATTCGGGGTCCATGGTCACCGGCTCAGGTCTGAACTCCTGTAAGACCTCGTGGTTCTCGTCCAGCAGACACACTGTCAACTCGTAGACGCAGCCGCAGTCTGTCCTGGCGCAATACCTGCAGGATGAGCCTCCCTTTAACCAGCGCTGCTCCTCACTGACGTAAGGTGTGAACATGCATGTGCCTTACCAGTCCTCCACGTTGACAGCAGGCTGAGCGTCCAGCTGGTCAGTGGAGAAGCCCTCCTCTATCAGGTCGACCACCTGCCTCTTCAGACACAACCTGGGACGCAGAGGTTCGACACAAACCAGGATAGGTTAGCATGAAGACTGATGAAGACTCTCGTTGACAGAAAAATGAAATGTGTTGAATTCTTGGTGAAGCACTCACATAGCATTTGACAAGTCAATAAGTAACAATTGCATATATCTATGCTTCAGAAAGTCTTCAGATGGCTTCACTTTTTTGCGAACTTAACGCTGCATATCAACAGGACAGGACAGACACTACCTCATCTCCACAGGCCTGTCTTTTGTAGATCCAACCTGCAGACTGCCTGACTCACTCCCTCCCCTGGATGATGTAATAATAATATCGATAATAATAGTTCAATTGCTTATACCTTATTTATGGTATACTATTTATAGACATGAGGCCCCAGATTCATCCGTTGTCATTTCCAAGTTCCAGATCACCCCTGCTCTACAACCACAGTATATCTGGGTCTAAAGCATTTTAAATGTATTCAGGTTAGTAACATAAGCTGCCCTGCTGCCTTTAAGATGTGAGGCAACTGCACTTTGGTTGTTTAAATCATTCAAAGCCATCTTATTTGTGATGAAAATGTAAAACTATTTAGAGTTTAATCAACTAAACATGATAAGAAGTTGAAATCAAGCAGTCATATAGACAGTGACGATGGACAGACTTGCTCCCTTTTACATTTTCTAAGTTTAAGGAGTTTCATCTTCATCTAACATTAAGAACTAACATCCTCGCTGTTGAGGAGCCTTAGTCATAGGATTGTTTTGATTATTAAGAAAACAATCATAATATAATTTCAAGTGTAATTTTAACCATGTGTATTTCCTCAATTTTTAACTATCTGGCAGCCCAACCTGCTAAAGTGCTAGTTTTATTTCTTATACGTTTAATTTGATGACTTGAGTAAACTCAGCTGTTCATTCATTCAACTCATCATTTTGAGTCAAAATGCGTCAAGTTATAAGAACTCTTGTTTTCAAATTCTGAAGTGATCTGATTTTTTTTTTTTTTTAAACAGTGACATTAGCTAATTAATCAAACTTTTTTTCAAGCATTATAACATAGTCATACACTGTACATACACATACAGTGAAAACACTCACTCAAAGGAGGTTGCAAAGTATTTAGCCACTCCATCCATGCAAAAGTCGTGACCGCAGTCTCCCGGCATTTCCTCCACCTTCCACT